TAGTACTGCATACTACCATGTTTCGGGCCCCGGCGAAGTCGATCAGCCTCAATCCGTTCTACTTCTACACTGAGGGAAAAAAATATTCAAATCAAATAGAAACGTGATTGATCTTACTATAAACGTCAACGAAAGTCTGATGAGGAGATGTGGTGATCTCCGAAATAGTGCTATAACTTCTACCGCTTAGACTTTGTTGCTTTTTCAATTTTTCCTAATAAACAATCGTGGTACAAAGCTCAATAAAAAATATTAAAAATAAAAATTTTAATAAGCCACAATAACATTGACAAATAGAAAGTACCTTATAAATGACGTTAAGAATTATAGACCTATTGCTAAATTGTCAACGGTTGCCAAGTTATTTGAAGCCATTATGAAGGACAAAATGGTCTTTTCAGTTCGAAATATCATATCACCGAATCAGCATGGTTTTATTAAAGGGAGATCCACCGTTTCCAATCTAGCGATTTTTACGGAGGACTGTCTGGAAAGCTTTTCGGCTGGGTTGCAAATTGATACGGTATACACGGATTTTTCAAAAGCGTTTGACAGAGTTTCTCATACAATTTTGCTGGACAAGCTAGCCTGTTTAGGGTTTCACTCTAAATTTCTATCTTGGATTAAATCATATTTAAGTGATAGGTACTGTTCGGTGGTACTTGACCACACGTCCTCCCGATCTTTTCATGCCAGTTCAGGTGTTCCCCAGGGAAGTATCCTTGGACCGTTGTTATTTATTATTTTTATAAATGATATTAGTTTATGCTTCCTACATGCAAAATTTCTCCTGTACGCGGATGACCTGAAGGTTTATTCTGTCGTAGCAAGAAGGGAGGATTCTTTCGCACTACAGTCCGATCTCGACAGGGTTCACGCCTGGTGCGTGAAGAATCGACTTTTTTCTTAATATTGATAAATGTTCTCATTGCATTTTTTCCAGAAAGCTTGTTACTGTAAATACTACTTATTCTATTGCGGGTTCTCAACTGAAGACGGTGAACACGGTTAAAGATTTAGGAGTATTTTTTGACTCAAAACTCACGTTTGCAAGCCACATAAATTTTATAGTGGCAAATTCTTACTCTATGTTAGCATTCGTTCGTCGAAACAGCTCTGATTTCTTGGATCCGTATACGCATAAGAAATTGTTTATTGCCTTTGTTAGGTCCCGTTTAGAATATGCTGCCTTTATCTGGCGGCCTGCCCAGGTATCATATATAAATAGAATCGAGCGTATTCAAAAGATTTTTATTAAATTTGCACTGCGATCTTTAAATTTCACACAACCTTTGCCTTCTTATACCTCGCGATGTCTACTCTTAAGATTAGAATCACTTGACAATAGAAGAAAATATCTCTCTTGTTCCTTCATAATTAAAGTCATAACTGGAGATATGGACTGTCCTGATATTCTAAGTAGGATACCTCTCAATATCCCTACTAGGAACTTGCGTCACTTCGACATATTCTATTTGTATAGAGTTAAATCTAATTATGCCATAAATGCTCCTATCAGTCGAGCTCTTAGTGAGCTTAATCAAATCAATCGAGTTATTGATATTGACCTCTCACTTTCTGGAGGGATATTAAATAATATCCTCTTAAGCTACCTTAATAATAATTAGTAGTTAGATAGTTTCTTAGTAGTCAGTATGAAAATATGTATTCACTGATGATAAATAAATAAATAAATATTTAAATATTTAAATAAATAAATATTTATATTGGTAAATATTCAATTCAATTACGCGCATATTAAAATGAACGCGTTCGTACTGAAAAAGCATCCGTAAAGTGAATAATCAAGACAAAAACTAAAAAATTTAATTTGCATGTTGCCTGCAGTGGAATTCGAACTCGACCATCTCCGGATATCAACAACTTGTGGCAAGCATCTTTGCGCACTCAGCTACACCCAGCCATATAAATTTGCCTTCAAATGTTGAATATCCATCAACACCACAGCACGCGATTTGTACCCTGCAAAAAATGGGACTAATCCGGGATGACTCCGGGAGCAATCGCAAAGAAGCATGCGACTAATACCACTTTTGATCTCTTTATATGGAATGAACTGATCGCTTTTGTTCGGGCATGTCCTATGAAGAGACTAATTGTTCACATTTATACCCGAAAGGGTATAAAAATCGACTAGTCACTTTTAAAAAATAAAAGTAAAAATTTCCGCCAGCTGAGATTCGAACCGGGGTGCTCCGTTTTGTTAGGCGAATACTCTCTCTGTGTGCCAACGCCGCACATGAAATTTCATTGACTAAGAGCGTACATATCATTAAATCGTTAATAGTACCCGTTAGAGATGAGTTGGGGACTAATTGATCTCCAATTATACCCACAAGGGATGAGTCGAGACTAATTGACCTCCATAAGTGCTCGTATGAGACTAGTTGGGACTAATTAATGCCCAATTGTACCCGATTGAGGGTAATCTCGGAATACTCTCTTTAGAGATTAGTCGCACAATTTTTTGCAGGGTACGGATAAACATGTATGTACTATGTATGTATGTGTGTGTGTGTGTGTTGTCACCGCTCGCAGAGCGGCGCTATTGCTGCTTGGGGTGCGTATACACTTACATATACATACTCAGATGTGAACTGTCAAATACGTGCGTAATACATTTTGTATGAAAATATTATTGTTAAATATGAACATTTTTAAACGATAATCAAATATAAAGTATTCATTTTTACTATGCATTATTTCCCTCAGTGTATTCATAAGATTCACATATGTACATACACTTCATCTTCCAACTCCAAGGGGTCCGACGAATTTCGTAATTCCCTCCTTGCTTTAGCCAACTCTACAAATCTATTAGCTTCCACATCATCTTCCTCATCACTAAACCATATTTCAACTGCATCAATTTTTTTAATTTTATAATATGTATATAGATTGGCGCTTACACATATGTTAATGTTTGACCGAGCTTCTCCTCCGATTTGTGGCGTGCGATTGTATTTTTATGAGAAGCTGTTTTTTCATGGCAGAAATACACTCGGAGGTTTGCCATTGCCTGCCGAGGGACGACCGCTGTTAAGAAAAAAACCTTTTTCTAATTTTTTTTTTGCGATGTTGCTTTGACCAGGGCTTGAACCCAGGTGCTGGTGAGTGAAAGTACGCACTGCTTACCACTACACCACAGCGGCCGCAGCAATTATTTTAAAAATGATGTAAATGAAACACTAAAGAAACAAATGTAAACAAACAAACAGCGTTTACAATTCAGTTAACCATTCACAATAGTACAAATTTTTGTCGATCAAGTTACGCAATAGCAACATAAAAGATGATCGACTCGATCGACAAATTTCTATTCTGCTGCCAGTCGACACTCGCAATAGGGGCATAAGTCAATTGAACTGGAAATTGTAAAAAATTGTGAAATATACATATGTATGTACCAATGTGTCTGAATAACAGATCAAAAATTGTAAGCAACAAAAGGCAACTTGCGCGGTTGGTCGAGCTGATGCAGGAGAGTGAGTAAATAGGCAGAGGAATTTCCGGAAAGAGTAGGGGAGGAAGCTCCACTTCTTTTGTGAAAGCTATACAATATTTCTTGTGCATATACATAACTACGGCTACGCCATCCACAGTGTTTTTGCGCAGAACCAACATCAAAGTTAAAAAAAACTGCATAATTTATTAATTAACTAGTGCTCGGAAATTTGAAATCTTTACTTTAAATTAAAGTTTAATTCTTTCACTACACTTGTATGTTATAGTTTTTAAACTTGGGTCCCGCGTTTGGACACAAATACCCAACATCACTGTACAAATAACTAAACCGTACCGTATTTCTTAAACTTCCATAAAGTTTGTTAATGAGGAAAACAGCTTTTCCTGCAAATCCTGTAAAACCTAAAAACCGTGAAGCATCGGGAACGCAACTTCTATTCATAAAATTCACATATGTACATACACTTCATCTTCCAACTCCAAGGGATCCGACTAATCTCGCAATTCCCTCCTTGATTTAGCCAACTCTACTAATCTATTAGCTTCCACATCATCTTCCTCATCACTTAACCATATTTCAACTGTGTCCATTTTTAAAATTTTATAATAAAAACAATTATTTTAAAAATGAGGTAAATGAAACACTAAAGAAACAAATGTAAACAAACAAACAGCTGTTTACAATTCAGTCAACCATTCACAATAGTACACATTTTTATTGATCAAGTTGCACAGTAGCAAAATAAAATATGATCGACTCGATCGACAAATTTCTATTCTACTGCCAGTCGACACTCGCAATAGGGGCCTTTTATTTTTAAATTTATAACACTTTAAACTATTTTAAGTAGTTAAGTACAAAAAATGGACTGCGGGTTAGGCCACTTCTGCTCTCACGGCTGAAATAATGGGAATGTTTGCTCTTTCGAATTAATCGGAAGCTTTAATTTATGTTAATATTTTTTTGAATTTTTTAAAAGAAACCACTATATGGACCACCATGTACATAAATATATCTTAGAGTCATCAAGAGAGGGGAAAAAATTGGTAAAGTGATATATCTGTAATCAACCCTATCCACAGTTTCATGTAATTAAATTCTTCACAAGAATTAACAAGCGAAACAAAAACAAATTTGGAAAAATTTTAATTCTTGGTAATATGTATTTAATATGTATTAATGTAAAGCAGAAATTTCTTTTATTTCCAAACCTAAGAAGAAGAAAATATTTAACGTGGCAACTTCATTAGAAATTGGCATTTTTTTCATGGCTCCGCAATTTGGACTTTACTATTTAGAAATAAAAGATGCTGATACTTTGCACTATTGCGTTTAAGAAGATAGCCGTGTTGAGGTATTTAAAAAAGCAAGTAACCCAAAGTATGATCGCATGTTTGAGATTACTGAAGAACTAAAACGTAATGCTTAAGCTTGTATAAAAAGTTTCAAGCACAAACGAGTATATACTTAAATAACCCTGAAAAATAAATATTTCAATTGTTACTACGTACAGTTCAATTTTCGAATCAACTCGCTCTGACCTCGGATAATAATATAAAAGTAATCTCCGTGTAAAACATTCCACCGCATAGTATGGCCTCGGTCGCCGCTTGGCTGCCATTTGCACGGGCGGCGGCCATCGGTTGGGTTCCAATTGCTACTCACCCACTACCGCCACCACCTATACCAAAGGATCGTCGCAAAACAGATGACGAAAAGCTGCTGATCAATGTTTCCGGTCGTCGCTTCGAAACATGGCGAAACACGCTCGAAAAGTACCCCGACACATTACTGGGTTCTAATGAGCGTGAATTTTTCTATGACGAGGATTGCAAAGAGTATTTCTTCGATAGAGATCCAGACATTTTTCGGCATATCCTTAACTATTACCGTACAGGAAAGCTCCATTACCCAAAACACGAATGCCTTACCAGTTATGACGAGGAGTTGGCATTCTTTGGCATAATGCCGGATGTAATTGGCGATTGCTGCTATGAAGATTACCGTGATCGCAAACGTGAGAATGCCGAACGTTTAATGGACGATAAATTATCGGAAAATGGCGATCAGAATTTACAACAGTTAACGAATATACGACAAAAAATGTGGCGTGCTTTTGAGAATCCACACACATCCACTGCAGCGTTAGTATTTTACTATGTAACTGGATTTTTTATCGCTGTCTCTGTAATGGCAAATGTGGTGGAGACTGTTCCGTGTGGCCATAGGCCAGGACGAGCAGGTACACTGCCGTGTGGAGAGCGTTATAAAATAGTATTTTTCTGCCTCGACACCGCCTGCGTTATGATATTTACCGCCGAATATTTGTTGCGCCTGTTTGCGGCACCAGATCGCTGCAAGTTTGTGCGCAGTGTTATGAGTATTATTGATGTTGTTGCCATACTGCCATATTATATTGGATTAGGCATCACCGATAACGATGATGTGAGCGGTGCCTTTGTAACGTTACGCGTCTTCCGAGTATTTCGAATTTTCAAATTCTCACGGCACTCACAAGGATTGCGGATACTTGGTTACACATTAAAATCGTGTGCTTCCGAATTGGGGTTTCTGGTGTTTTCGCTGGCAATGGCTATCATAATATTTGCGACTGTTATGTTTTATGCAGAGAAGAACGTCAACGGTACGAATTTCACGTCCATTCCGGCCGCCTTCTGGTACACTATAGTAACTATGACAACGCTTGGGTAAGTTGTTTCAATTATTTTTGAACATTCTTTATGATATGTATAGGTTAAAAGGTATTTCGTTTTGGTGCATTCAAAATAGAGAAGTTGAAATAACTTCTTATTTAACTATGAAGAACTCAGTAGCATCTTTTATCGTAAAACTTGGCATTTAATTTACCTACTTAAATCTAAGAAAACTGAGTCCCCCTTTTAAATTCCTCACACCTCATTTTAAAGCATACATTTCTGTTGTTATACTTATGTATGTCCTATGTATAAATAAAATTAAAATTGAATGAATTAAAAAAATTAAGCGAAAAATTAAATTTAGAAATAAGAAATACTAAAATAATTATTAAAAAACGTAAAAACCACTACCAAAAAGGTATAATTGAGGAATTAGTTGTTCTTCACATGAGATTTGTTTTAGTGCAGATCGTAATTACCATAATATATTTAGGTGGTTCTTTTTATGAATATTGAAAAATATTTAATTTTTTTAAATATATTTTACATTGAAGCTAAATGTAACGAATGAAAATTTTTAAAAGTTTACAAATCAAAATTGATCGTCATAAACAAATGTAACAAGATCTTTTTCATGAATTAAAGTATTTTAAGAACAAGTGTTTAACAATAACATGTATTACTACACTACTCCCATCTTCCAAATAATTTCATATCTAACAAATTAAATGTAACGAGTTTCGTCTTGCTGGATGAACTGAATTTATTTGCATCCAAAAATGCGGGCTTAACTCGGTCTATAGAAATATTTACTAATTTATTGTGATAATTAACTTTTAACCACTTCGGAGTCTTTTCTATAACCCGAAATGGTCCTTCATATGGTTCCTGAAAACCTGCTCTTTTCCTATCAATTCTTACCAAAACAAATTTGCAATTATATACATCTTTTGAAATATAAACGAGTGAATTTTTGTGATATGATATTCTTGATTCACAATTTTTGAGATTTTGTTTCAGTTTATACAGTACATCAGATGAATTAAAAATAGTTTCAGACCGTACTACCATTTGCGAAGGAAGCTTTAAATTTTCGCCGTGAATGTCCTCTTTGTAGGATGATCGCAAACCCAACAATACTATAGGTAACTCCTCATACCATGTGCTTGCGTTTCCACTAGCCATAATTGGTGCCTTTAGTTGCCTGTGAAAACGTTTCACCATTCCGCCAACGGGAATTCCTATCAATAACAGTTAAAATAAATTTAAATTCGTGTGATGGGGGAAGAGGTCCAATGATATCCAAATGTATGTACTCAAAACGTCCTTTTGGAATTGGTATTTTCGAAACTTGAGATCTTGTATGTCTATAAATTTAAAATTTTTGACGGTTAACACATTCTTTTGTCCACTGGTTTATAGCTTTGTTTACCCCTGGCCAAAAATATCTACTTGAGATCAACCGACGTGTTGCTTTAACACCTACATGAGCTATATAATGTAATTTCTCAAAACTAATTTTCGTAACGTTTGCGGGACATATGGCCTTGTTGAACTAAGTGACATTTCACACCAAATTTGGATATTTAAAGAGGGTATTGCTATTAACTCTAGTCTATGCCTACAATGATCATCTACTAACAATGTAATTTCTTTATCTTTGTTTTGTTCATCAAATAATTTTCTTAAGTTCAGGTCTGTAGCACCGTCTAACGTGTATGAATAATAACGGGCCAAACCGTTTTGGACTTAATGAACTATTTGAACTATGCACCACGTCTAGAGGAACGATTTTGGTCTATGTTCTCTCCGAAGCTGCTGTTTTCAAAGGCGGACTGGTAGCTGATTACTGCGGCTGCTTTATATTATAACATCTCGATGTTTCCTGTCTTAAAGATTTTTATCTTCCGGATGATCCAAATTAATTTGTTAGGTTCTGCATTACATTCATTCCGAAGATCATGGTTCTAAATTTTATCGTAGTTAAAAATTACTTCAGGCAGGATCGCCAATTTTATGAATATTGAAAAATATTTAAGAGTTTCAAACAAATCCAATCATTTTTTTAAAGTTCGTCGCCATTTTGGATCCACCATTTTGAATTTTGAAAATCTGACGTCAGATTCGTAATCAGCAACCCCAGAAACCTACTGGAAACGTTTTTTAACCATTGACAATGTTTAAAACGTTCAGTATCAACGATTTAATTTCAGTACTTTTTTTTTTAATTTGATTGCAATATTGGATCCGCCATTTTGAATTTAAAAAAATTGACTTCAGATTCGTAATCGGCGACCTCAAAAACTCTCGAGTGCCGGGTTTCGAACAAATCCAATCATTAAAAAATAAATGGACCGCCATTTTGGATCCGCCATTTTGAATTTCGAAAAAACTGACTTCAGTTTCCTAATTACCAACCACAGAAACCTCCTGGTAACAAGTTCCAACCCATGACAATGCGTGAATCGTTCAGTATCAACGTTTTAATTTTACTAGTGTCTTTTCGAGAGCATATTTTCGGGTACTAGACCCATTCTAATTGTCCAAGACAGGTGCGTACTGAGGGGAAAGTTCTCCACTAATATCAGAATAATTACATGTAAAAATCACATTTTTAGCTGCATTTTAACATGCAAAAAATTGAGAACATCAGTGTTTTTATAAAAAACCGACCAACGCGACCTCTAAGAAAACTTTTTTTTTCAAAATAAAAAAATACGTGTCTCTTTCACAAATAACAATAATTTGAGGTAGCGTTTATGAATTTCCAAAAAGAGTGTTTTTATGAACCACTCTAATATACAGGGTGTAAAATAATAACTGTCGCACAGTATTTTTTGAGATATAAAAGGGTCCTTTATAGATTTTGCGAAAGAAGTAGTTTTTTTGTTAATTTTCCCCAGATTTTTCTTAAATTTTATTAATTGGTTTTTAAATTTTAACCTTATTTGGGTTTACCAGCGGTAAACACTTTGAGAGAAAAACGCAAGCGGCACGCAAGTCTTCGTCTGTTACTTTATTACATATCTTCTGTAACCATAGGCTAATTCCCTCCATTTGAGTCCCTTATACTCCCCCTTTTGACCAACATTAAACCTCTTACTCAGCAATCGTGTAGACTCGGAACTTGTGAGGCCATTCATTCGACTAACCCTGTAGTCTTTTTTTTCTTTTTTTATACAAAGTCTAAGAAAACATACACCCGAAAAAGACATGTACTTGTCTCCCAAAGCGGGCAAATGCAAATAAGGATTAGAATTCTAAAACTAATTAATAAAATTTAAGCAAAATACATATTTACAAAGTTAACAATAAAATACTTTTTTTGCAAAATCTACAAAGGACTGTGCGACAGTTATTATTTTACGCCCTGTACGCCATTCATATTGTGGTGAACACTACTTAGTAAGCAAAGTTAAGTGTGATAGGGACCCCTCTATTCTAACAGAGTCACAAAACTTAGCTCATCACTGTTGTGATTTCTAATGCGCCGAGAAATGTGTCACAAAAAATTCGATTTTGAGTGCAAGAAAAAAACACAAAAATTTTAAAATTTGTCTTGTAGCGGCATATTTTTTGCAGCGGCAAGCTTTGAGGCGCAGTAGAAATCACAGCAGTGATGAGCTAAAGTTTGTGACTTTGTTAGAATATGGCTGTAAAACGGTGTAATATTATGATCACGTTGAGCCATTAACTCGAGCTATGGGCCATTTTGGAGTAAAACGTTAAACACTACTAATAAACACGGAGATTACCAAACAAATAATTTTCGTTTAACTCGCTTTAAACACCACTTTTATTTGGAGTTTAAGCGAATGGAACCCTTTTTTACCGAATTTGGATTGTGTCTTTGATAATCCAAATCTGCAAACAACTTGCCGACAGCTAGACTGTTCCCGTACTGCAGAATTTAATCAGAAATAGTCCGAGGTCGTTCCGTGCACATAATTCTAGGATATCAACAATCTAGCTATGCAAAAACCAAAAATGTGGCTCGATAGAACTTTTTGTGCTGATTTAAACCCTACCAAATTATCTGGCTGAAGTAAAAAATAAAGAAGATATCAATGGGTAAAATTAATTTTTTTTTTTTTAATATTTAAATCTTTTCAGCAACATAACATAACATATCGTCGGTGATACTGCAAAAGTTTCTATGTCTATTAATACCCTTGACACATAGATGGTTTCTAACTTGCATCGGAATGCATCTGCAAATCGTTACACCCTAATAAACTGTCTACCTTTGTCTGATGAAGATGAACGATTGCCAGAAGCGATCAGATACAGATAACAGATCAATTAAGCACCAGAGGTAATAAATGACATAGAACGTTTTGCAGTATCACCGGCGATATGCATGGTCGTAGCCAGGTAGGTGCAAGACGCTTGGGTATAAAAATCAGGAAAATATGAAATTAATTACAATTAAAAAAATGGCCATACATGGAGTCAGACCAGATTTACTGCAGGCAAATTGGTTAGCACTTCTAGCACTTTGTTTGGGGTGGTCCTTAAAGTAACCGAGATGCATTAAAACGTTGTTCTTGGACCTTGCTCAGGAGTTTTGGGTAACTTGTCTTTTGAGTTGATGGCCACCATACAAGTATTCCATACAGTAGTATAGGCCTGACTACGGAAGTGTAAAGTCAATATGTAATACGGGTTGTTAATCCCCATCTGATTCCGACCGCTTTTTTATTGGTGTATAATGAAACGTTGGCCTTCTTAACTCTCTCCTCTATATTAGGTTCCCACGTTAGCTTCGTATCTAATATGAGTCCTAAATATTTAACATTCTCCTTCAAAGGCATCTCCACTCCTTTAAAAACTAGCGGGGAGACTGTAGGGAGCCTATGTTTCCTTGTGAAGAGAATTACTTCAGGGTTTATTCCGAGTCCCCTACTTTCTGTGCGCAAAATTTCCATTAGGGTATTTGGGTATTTGCCTTTAACGGCAATTACAAGGTCGCAAGCATAGGCAGTGACGTGGAAACCTCCCCTCTCTAGGGTCAGCAGCAGGGAGTTCGTTGCCAAAGTCCAGAGAAAATG